TAGAACTGGTGTAGAGTTTGGTGTGAGGAAGCACAGGTAGAAAAGGATGTTGAAGAACTTTTCATGAACATGTATCTGATTCTTAGGGCACAATGGGGAGCCTAGGTGGCTCAGTCGGTTAAGGTTACAATTCTTGGTCTTGGCTCAAGTCATGATATCATGGGTCGTGGAATGAAGCACCCCATGGGGCTCCACGCTCAGCAGGGAGTCTGCTCGAAGATTCTCTCCCTCTGCCCCTCCCCCACTCTTGCACATGTGTGTGCCTGGACTCACACACTCTCTGTCTCAAATAAATAAATCTTTAAAAAAAATCTCAGAGAAGATCCCTTACTGATGATAGACACCAGAACCTTGATCTAGGTCTCTCTGCCTGCCAGAAGATTCTGTTTACTGCTTCTGCCCTAGGGAGGAACAGGGCTTCAAGGTTTGTGGCAAGAATAGACATTTGCCTCTCTATACCCATTCTTGCTTCTTCCTTAGTAACAGATTCCTAAATTGCTTTGGGGTGACACTGAGTCTAGCTGAAAATACACATTTCCTGGCATCTCTCACAACTAGGAGTAGCAAAGTAAGTAGAAGTTAGCGAGTGGGGCTTCCAGAGAGACCTTCAAACAGAACTGAGTCAACTGAGATGGTGAGATGGTCTCTGTTTGCCTGTCATCTTTCCCTCTTCGTCTTGCCTAGAATGAAGACACCATCCCTGGAGTCCTAGCCACCATCTTATGATTTTGAGGATGGACACTGTTCACTAAGATTAAGGGAGCCAAAATACAGAAGAAGCTTAGATCCCTGATGACATGGAACCACCACCTCTACACCGGGCTGCCCACTTCTGGACTTCTTACAGGTGAGAGGATAAACCTCTACATTTGTTTAAATCACTATAGGCCGAAGTCTTGGTTATTTGTATGCAAATGTAGTTCCTAATGCACCTACATCCATTTTTAAACCGTATTAGATAAAAGTTGGCCAATCTGTTAACAGACTATATGGCCTAAATTTATCTATAAAACGATACCAAGAAGGGTGCTTGGGTTGGTTAAGTGTCTGCCTTTGGCTCAGGTCATAATCTCAGGGTCCTGGGATCAAGCCCCACCTGGGGCTCCCTGCTCAGGTGGGAGTCTCCCTCTCCCTCTCCCCCTGCCCCTCCTCCTCACTCACTTTCTCTGTCTCTCACTCTCTCAAATAAATAAATAAAATATTTTTAAAAATAAACTAAACCAAGAAAAATGTATAAACTTACCATTTTTTAAGAACTATATATAATCATCAAAGTAAACTGAGACTACTAATATAGCTAACATTTATTAAACACCCATTATGTTTCGAGGTGTTTGCTATGTATCTCACATACATTACCTCATCTATTACTCAGCTTGATGCCATGAGGTAAGTACTATTATTACAGTTAGAAGAAACTGAGGCCGGCAGGGGAGGGCAGGGTTACCTCAATTTGCCAGACTGATACCAGAGCCCAAAGCCTAAGCAACCATTACATAAAAGATAAAAATGAAAAGAGGTCTAATCAGAAACTCCAAGGATACTCTGAAAGTTGTATGGAGCACAATGTATAAACTCTACGCAGTTTAAGTTTCAAGAAGCAGAAAAATTGAACACAAGGAAAACTGCATTTTAAAAAGCTGTCCCCAAATCACCAAGAGTAAGTCACATGGCTATGACTTCTTATGCCGTACCATGCAATGAGAAGGACACAATGTCATTTTTGTAGTATTCTTGACAAATGAGTATAAACTTAATCTTACCATGTGAAAACAACAGGTAAATCCAAATTGGGAGACAATTTACAAAATAACAGACTCATCAAAAGTGTCAGGTCATGAATGACAAAGAAAGACTGAGGAAATACCACAGATTGGTGAAGATTAAGAAGATACAACAACTAAATGGATTGGATCCTGGAACAGAAAAAGATCATGAGGAGGAAAAGTAGTCAATTTCAAATAAGGCTTGTAGTTTAGTTAGTAGTATTGTATCAATGTTAATATTCTTATTTTGATAATTATACTATGGTTATTTAAATTATTAACATTAGAGGAATCTGGATAAAAGGTATATATGAACTCTATTATTTTTGCAAGTTTTCTGTAAGTCTAAATTATTTCAAAATAAATTTTTTTAAGTTTTTCAAAGATTACCTCTAAAAAGAAGTTAGGTCCAGATACAGAGTTGAATTGTTTCCATCTTTCAAGGAATATTCTTATGGTATATAAACTGTTCTAGAGCACAAAAACAATGGAAAGTGTCCCAATTAATTTTATAAAGCTAATATAAACCTGATATTAAAATCTGGCAATACCACCTCAAGGCAAGAAAACCCTGTCCAATCTCACGCATGAATATAGACTCAAAAATCCTAAATAAGATAACTAAAAAGTTAAAATCAGCAGTACACCTAAAAAAGTCATCATGACAAAGTATACTTAATTCCAAGAACACTACATTGGTTCAGTCTTAGGAAATGTATTAAAAGAATAGGTCAAATGTACGTGATAAAATTCAACACTCATTTCCAATTTTTAACCACACTTAACAAACTAGAAATAAAAGGATACTTTAACATCTACTTCAATTCAAGAAGTCAGAAATTAAAGTATCATCATAGTTATATAATATTATCCTGGAGGTTCTTGCCAATGCAATACAAAAAGAAAAAGAAAATGTTTAACTGACAAAATGGGGAAGAACTCTTGTTGCTATATAAAAATGATATAAAAGTTATTGGAATAGGGGATTTAATATATGGAACCCTTGCAAGATAAATAAAACAGAATCTCTTAGCTTTTCTATAAAACAACTACAGTTATAAAATGTAATGGGAAAAGAACATGATCATTAATAATACCGAGAGCATAATATCTAAAAATGAATTCAACAAGAATGGTACAGAATATAAATGAAGAAACTGCAAAACTTTGCATAAAAAGAAATTTGAAAAAATAATTTAAAAGTTAGATGATGTAAGGATGCAGGAAAACATACAAACTCATAGTCTGTTGCAAAAGCATATATATATATATACACACATATGTGATGCACACACAAGACTACTCAATATAGCATTATTCTTAATAGTAAAAAGCTGAGAACAACATAAATATTGAAAAATGAGAGACTGGTCAGGTAAAGATGGCCTATCAGCATTATAAAACCCCGTGTAGCCACACTTGAAATAGTATAACCATTTTATTGAAAAATATTTTTATAAATATATTTTTTATAAAATAAGCAAGATGCACATGCTTCTAAATATTATGATTAAACTTTAGCTGGGCGGCAGAATTTTCTGGGCGGTAGCTTATTTTCTTCCCTGTGATTTTCTGTTTCTCAAATTTTCTGTAATACTCACGTATGGTGATTAGCAAAGTACTACAAACTTTATCTGTGGATGCGAGGAATTCCAATACCTAATATTTGCACTGCACTGGCCCATTTATAATGTGCATTCACATGCATTTTCTCCAAATAAATACTATGTTTGCATCACCAATGTGCAAAACTCAGAATAAATGTTTAATAATTCTCACCAGTCTCTGTCACTATCTCTGTGAACTCAATATTATAGCCAATAATATAATTACATTCTGATCTGGGGTCAAAAAATGAGACCACCATTTGGCTTATGCCAAAGAAGGGGAAAGAGAACCATGACAGCAAGGAGGAAAAAATGGGTGTTCATCCTGCAAGCCTCAACTCTTCAACCTTATCCACTACAGGAAGCAGGAGCTACTTTTGTTTCATCAACTTTTCTTTAGCCCTGTGAGAACTCTGTTTTATTATCTGTTTATGCACAATGTTCTATTGCTTGAGTTGTTTGACCAAGCCAGGGAATCAGAGCAGGAAACTGAGGTGTATCCTTTAAGGTTTAGATCCTGTCTGTCTCTCCACAGCAAGAAGAGTTCAGCATAAACAAGCCATTTGTTACAAGTACACTAATGATTCCCTATCACTGCTCCCTTCTGAGCAGCCAATGTGCAGTATTTGAGAAATACTGAGAAAATGTTCCATTGTCGCATGCTGTCCCCTTGGAGAGAGCCCTAACCACGTGTGGAGGACGTGTTTTGAGCCTGTGATTTCCCTGGCCTTCTCAACCACCCTCCAGCACAGAAACACCCAGAAGTTCCCCAGATCTGTTTTAAAGAATCCTATGCTTTCAATCAGAGGCGTTGGTGGATCTCAAACTTTTAAAGAGGGGAGGCTTAACCTGTGGTCATCTGGAAGGAAGGGGCTGGGAGCAGTAGCTTTCAAAATGCTTTACCCCAATTCGCCGGTAAGGAGTATTTTACTTTCACACTGCAGCCCATTACAGACGTACGTACGTGTAACGTGCTTAAATAGATACACACGTACAATTATATTAATAAGTTTTATGAAGTAATAATATGCATGCAATGTGCTACACATTTTGACATGTCCTATTACCTCGACATATTCTAGTCTATTCTACTAAAAATCATGCCCACATCTCATTAAAATATTCCCAAAGCCCCTCATGGTGGTAACCTGCAGCTGGAAACACCCTGGAAGGGGGGGTCTTTGGGGCTGGATTCGTGACCATCTGGAGCGCCCAGAGCTATGCTCTCACCCGGACAAGTCCCCTGGCACCCCCAGCCACCCTCTTGCTCGGGGTTCCCAGAGAAGAAGAGCTTGAGGACTTAGGAGAGTATCACAAATTTCTAAAAATCCTTTGAATGGAACCGAATCTATGGAGGGAATTCACATTGCTGGCTTCCTGGGGGCCTGTTTGTTTGTTTGTTTGTTTGTTTGTTTTAAGATTTTGTTGTTTATTCATGAGAGACAGAGAGAGAGAAAGGCAGAGACCCAGGCCGAGGGAGCAGCAGGCCCCACGCAGGGAGCCCGACGCGGGCCTCCATCCCGGGTCTCCAGGGTCACGCGCTGGGCCACCCGGGCCGCCCTGGGGACCTGTTCTGACACCTGATGGGGGTTGGGGTTGGGGGTTGGGGGGCTGGAAGCACAGTTACCGTACGAAGAACTGTTGAAGAGCTCGATGTTGAAGAAGGCGTAGTCGCCGCCCGTCATCCCGCGCCGGTGCGCCGCCAGCATGATGCCGCGGATGGTGTCGCCGCTCGCGCACATGATCACCACTGCGGGGGAGGAGCACACCGCGTCAGAGCCCGGCCGGGGCGGGGGCGCTCACCTCGCCCCCAGCCTTCCCCCCACTCGTTCCTTCCCAACGGCGCAGGGGCAGACCGGCAGCTGGACCGGAGGCCGCCAGCCCACGCCCGCGCAACAGGTGACCCACGAGGCCGCGGCCGCCCGCCCGCCGGCCCCCCGCACCTCGGGGGTCCACTGCGCACCGGGGAGCTGGGCGGGGGCCCCCAACACCCAGCTTTGGGAATGCTCTGCGCCAAAAAGACTTCGAGGAGCAGAAAACGAAACGTGTGATCTTGCATCCTTAAAAGAAAGGTAATAAAAAAAATGTTGGGGGGGATCCCTGGGTGGCTCAGCGGTTTAGCATCTGCCTTTGGCGCAGGGCGTGATCCTGGAGTCCTGGGATCGAGGCCCGCGTTGGGCTCCCTGCATGGAGCCTGCTTCTCCCTCGGCCTGTGTCTGCCTCTCTCTGTGTGTCTCTCATGGATGAATAAATAAAAAATCTTAATAAATAAGTAAATAAGTAAGTAAATAAAATAAATAAATAAATAAATAAAATGTTGGGCAGCCCGGGTGGCTCAGCGGTTTAGCATCTGCCTTTGGCCCAGGGCGTGATCTTGGAGACCCGGGATCGAGGCCTGCGTTGGGCTCCCTGCATGGAGCCTGCTTCTCCCTCGGCCTGTGTCTGCCTCTCTCTGTGTGTCTCTCATGGATGAATAAATAAAAAATCTTAATAAATAAGTAAATAAATAAATAAATAATAAATGTTGGGTAGCCCGGGTGGCTCAGCGGTTTAGCATCTGCCTTTGGCCCAGGGCGTGATCTTGGAGACTGGGATCGAGGCCCGCATTGGGCTCCCTGTGTGGAGCCTGCTTCTCCCTCTGCCTGTGTCTCTGCCTCTCTCTCTCTATGTCTATCATGAATAAATAAATAAAATCTTTAAAAATATATGTTTTGCTAGAAAGGGCATCATTGAGACAACTGGAGAGATGGGGCTGTAAATTAGCAGTATTGCATCTGTGTTAAAGTTTTTGCTTCTCGGGGATCCCTGGGTGGCTCAGCAGTTGAGCGCCTCCCTCCCTTAGGCCCAGGGCGGGATCCTGGAGACCCAAGATCCAGTCCCACATCAGGCTCCCTGAATGGAGCCTGCTTCTCCCTCTGCCTGTGTCTCTGCCTCTCTCTCTCTCTCTCTCTCTCTCTCTCTATCATGAATAAATAAATAAAATCTTAAAAAAAAAAGTTTTTGCTTCTCGTACTTACACTGTGGTTATGTAAGTGAATGCCCTCGCTCTTGTAATCACACACTTAAGTATTTAGGAGTAAGGGAGCATGATGGCCCTACTTACCTCTCAAATGGTTCATAAAAAGATTGGTGGGTGTGTGTGTGTGTGTGGTGTGTGTGTGTGTGTTGAAAGGGGGTAGGAAGGGAAGGAGTTGGGGAGAGATTTGGAGTGAAAGCATATAGGGCGAAATGTTAACAATTGGTGACAGTGTGGGTAAAGGCTGGGGAAAGTTCTTTATACTTTCTTACATCTTTTCCAAAAGTATAAAATTATTTTGAAATAAAGTTTTTAAAAAATACTTCAAAGCTGTCATCAGATTTGCCCAGCGTAAGCCAGTGAAGAGTATCACCTGCTTTTTGTACTGAATAGCATAGTAAGTACATTTTCCCAAAAAAGCAAACTGAGTGGTTTTAGGGGAAACCGTCGTTTGGCAAATCAGAGGAGGCGGTGAGCAGTATAAGCTTTCTGCCTGAATTCCGAAACATTTTTCTCAAGCTGTCTCACCCTATATAGGAAATAGTTAACAAGACTGCAGGTCCCTCCTCATGTTTGCTCAGTTTCTACCCACACTGCCAAACCTGAGCAGCTTTAAGTGGCTCCAGAACATGGTTGTCTGCCCCCCAAGAGCTCCAACAGGCTAGCGTGAAGTGGGTGCCCGGCCGTTCTCCAGTTAACTGGATCGCTGTCCACGGCCTGGTCCCCACCATGCAGACCACTCTCACACACAGAGAAGGGGACCCGGAGAACCCTGGGGGCTGTCCCCATGTCATCACCATGCACGCCAGCCCTCCGAGATGTGTCTGTTCTTTGTAAAAGCATGGGTGCTGAAAGACATAAAGCAAACTTCAGGCTGTGCCAGAGCTACCTTGGCAACCTCCATGAAGGGTTAGGCGCCTGTTGATATTTCATTTATTACACATGTTAATTCAGAGTGTTAGATCATGACTCTGACATTTCTTACTACGGAAGGGCTTGCTGTGCAGGCTAAAGGTCTAGAGAACAAGTTTTAACAATACAAAATTCCAAAAGGTCTCTAACTGTGGGAGTAGGTGTTGTTTGTGCCTCGAAATATTGTTATATATTTGGGATAAAGAGTCAAATACCAAGATGCCTCAGTAAGGAAGCTTTGAAAGAAACTTTTCATCACTCATTATGACCTAGACCCTTATTTTAGCTCGGATTCAAATTCTAGTCCCAGAAATGATGAAAGAGCCACAGTGCCCGCAACAGAGCAGCCAATAAGGAAAAGGCGGAGGCTGGACAAGTTTGAAGAGTGCAGATTCCAAGAGTGGGCATCTACAGAAGGCCCCCGGGGGCTCTAGCTGACTGTCCACCAGCAGCCCTCGTCATCTTGTGATCAGCTGATCATAGTCCGGAGTCTGGCCCTAAACCCCCAGATAGAGAACCTGTCAGTGCATAAAGAGTAGAGTCCTTGTTTGGAGTCAGAATCCCAATAACCTAACTCAGATGTTTTTAGATACTCTCAAATGCATATTCCTTCATTTTAATGAGGGCCAGAATTGTCACAAACACATTTGTGTCAACATGTACCTGGGCATGCCAAATGAGAAGCCAAATTGTACGCAGTAGGATGTTAGTGAGGATGAAATCCTAATCAGGGAGGTCTGTTGGAGGATTCAGGCATCCAAAGGCATCAAGCCTTGGTAACCCTAAGCATCCTTGTAAGTGCTTTACCACCCCTGGACCTAACCGCTGTGCCCTCATGATGGAACACAGACTTCCCTAAGTCCTGGCTGGGCCCTTGCCCAACACTTGCCCCCCATCACTTCTTTGTCTATTTTTACAGCTCTGGCCCATCTCCTTCTCCCTTTTTCCATGACCACCAAGATAGGCCTCTGACAGACAAACTCCTTCTTTAAATGTCAGTACCTGCTGGGACTGAGCAGGAGTGACGCAGGGCAGCACTGAGGCTCTCCGAGCAGACTTTGATTATTTTAGATCTCATCCATTTTGTGTGGACCATGCAGTTCAACTCTCAAAAAGGAGACCCTAGTTTCGAAGTTCATGGGCAGGATATTGTTTTTTCTTGCATAAAAGAAGCCCGTAATGCACATTATCATCCAGTTTAAGTTGGAGCAAGCACTTACAGACACTGGCAAAGCAGAGGGAACGCAGAATCCTTTTAGATTTCTAGGATGTTCCCGAATCCCTTAGGGCTGTTTCATTCATGCCTAATTCAACAGCAACTATTTTTAGCATCTTGCCTTTATACAATCTGTCAGAAGGTTTAAAATAGTTTTCACTGAAATAGCTTTCTCTTCCGACTCATGTTTCTTCAGTTTATATAATAACTAATTAAATTACACACTTATTATAATAAGTACAACTGGTATAAACGGATTTGGTGACAACTCTTGGAAAGAACGTGGGCAAGTGTGAGAAGCGTGTGGGCATAATCAGGAGAAGTATACAATGACCAGCATTCACCAACAGTCAATAAAGTGTATGGAGAAAAAGAGAGCTGCAGTTAATGCTGCAGGCTGCTTAAATGAAGGTCAATTAAGACAATTTGTGCTGTATTTAAGCACAGTTAAATATATACATAGTCAATTTTTTTGGTCAAATTGTTGAACTTGTAGAAGGTGGGATGATGGTGTGATTCTAAGTTTCTGGATGGACTGTTCAGCATTCTGCTCTATTTCTCTCTCTTTGCCAGAGAATTTGTGATGTCCCACGGCACCTTCCACCATCTGACTCCCAGTGTCCTCTGTAAGTGACTTTGCAATCACCTTAAGAACGGCAGAGAGAGAAAAAAAAAAAAAAGAACGGCAGAGAGAAGTGCCAGGGGGTGGCCACAAGAAGCCAACTCAGAGAACCAGAAACAGTCCAGGTACCATACCTGAGTTAGGGGGGTATCTTTTCCCCAGTCTCATGTTTTCATCTGGAGCAAACTCTAAGAGGGTGACCCTCCTCATCCCACAAGTGCCTTCATTCATCCTCTCTCCCACCGGAGGAAAAGGAGTAAATTATTGGATTGGTGAATCTAAAAACAAAAATGCCATGCCAGTCCTTTCTCCCTTCCTCTTTCAGGTATGTGTCTGCTTGCAGAGGGCACATATTAAGGGAGAAGTAACAGTAAGTAGGCCCTTTTGGCAACAAATCTAAATCCTTGTTTTCCAATAGGTTTTATCAATAATAAAAACGTATTTTCATTTTCGGGGTACCTGGGTGGCTCATTCAGTATAGCATCTACCTTCTATTCAGGTCATGATCTCAGGGTCCTGGGATGGAGTCCTGCATCAGGCTCCTTGCTCAGGGGGAGTCTGCTTCTCTCTCTCTCTCTCTCTCTCTCTCTCTCTCTCTCTGCTTCTCCCCCAGTCATGTGCTTGCTCGGTCTCTCTCTCTCAAATAAATAAATAAAATCTTTAAGAAAGAAACACTTTCATATTCTCCAGCTGACTCTTGCACCCATCTTCCATTTGATTCTAAGCTCAAAAAAAGAAGAGAGACGTTATTTCATGGAAGCAAACCAAGATATGCAATGTACCGCAAATTGAAAACATGATAGCAGAAATTAGAAACCAAAACTTAAGAGAAATTTGGGGAATAGTCAAGGAAATATCTAAATAAGAGGAATTTCTTTTTAAAAAACAGGTAGGAAGTAGGAAAAAAGAGATAAGAAAGATAGAGTTTCAATTCAAGAAGTCTAACATCCAAATAACACAAATAACATCTCCGTTCTGTCTTTC